GCAATGCATTTCTGTCACTGAACAAGTGAAAAGAATGGTTCTAGTGTACTGAGTTATGTAGATGCATCCTGTCCTGCACCATCACTTTCTTTGTCTTTTTGCCAGACCTGCCAGACAGATTAAGCTCTGATTAAATTTTGGCTTTAGAAAATGTTGTGATTTCTTACAGAATGCAAGTTTTATTATTTTTCTGACAGGTCAATTCCCAGTTTTACATAGGTTATCTGTAATATTCTGTATTCTACTTTTTCTACATTTTACCATAGAAGTCCATCCAGTGAAGTGTCAACACAAGATGTAGGACAGATTTATTCTTGGTACACTAAACCAGATTGTATCTACAGAGATATGTAGATAAGGGGTGGATTCTCTTTGGCACGTACAATATTTAGATCAGGATAGCTGTGAATGGCAACTTGAGCATATAAACATCTTATCTATGATCATTTCCATCTATGTATGACATGACACAGTTTTCAAAAAAAGCAGTACATATTACCAAAGTTTTAAGTATATAACTGTCTTCCTTCATTTCTTGGATGAAATCTTTTAAAGGATGTGTATTTATCTTGACTGTTCCATCTTTTCCAGGACATAATTCATATTTTGAAAATAGCACTGGGCAGAGGCAGAATCTCGTAGGAATGCATATATTTAATCTGGGGAGTAAGTTCATTTGTATCAGGTTTATTTTTCCCCATGGTGTCTATCCACCATCAGTGATTTGTTTAATGAATGCATTTTAGCTGTTACAAATCTCACAGGATTAGAGTTCTTAAATATTTTAATGTCATTTGCTGCTACTGGAAATCACAGTGTAATTCTGAATAAGATAGTTGTACCAAGGTGTTCAGTATTCTTTTCAGTCATATATATTTTTCCTTAATATGCATTTTAAGGGGAGTTTGACTTCTCCTACATACACATGAGAAGCTTGATGGCTTTCTCCTCAACTGAGTAACCTTCCTGAAGATAAAAGATAGTAAAGGCTTGTTGCAATTATCCTTCTATGGTTTATTCTGTATTCATGTGTCCTTTCTGTGAGTTTTTGGGTTTTCTTACTCTATGGAGAAAAAATTATTCTTGATCTGATATTTTATGGGTTTTAATGTGAAGATTTTTTTTTTTATATGTAGGCCTTTACAAGATTTTTTGCCTTAAAGAGTACAACATAGCACTGCCCATGATCTTCCTATGTTTGGCAGCACACAGCTTATGAGATGATTTGTTTCACTGAAGGAATCCAGTCAGTGTCTTTGAGAACAGTTAAGAGTATCCACACCAAGGAGATCTCTCTGACACAAAGAGATACTTGCACTGGCATCTGTGCAGGTTGATACTGTTGGTCATCTTCCCAGAGGCTTTATTTTCCAGTTCTACTAGGTTTGAAGATAGTAGTCTTTCTCCAAATAAGTAGAAAAAAAGGTTGGAAACAGCTGTAGTTTCAAGAAGCAGGAATAATGTCTCTATTAATAAATCTTTAACCATGGAGATAATATTCTGTATCTACTTGAGGGGCTGAACTGGTCCAGGGGATGATTTTTTGCGTTTCACAGATGCTGTGATGGGAGTCATTGGGTTTTCTGTCTTTTTCTTGGGGTATTTTTGGTTTTTTTGTTTTGGTTTGGTTTTTTTGGGGGGGTTTTTTTGGGTTTTTTTTTTGAGGGGGGTTGTTTGTTTGTTTCCTTTTGGTTTGGTTTTTTGTTTGTTTGTTTTTGTGTTGGGATTGGGGTTTTTTTTGGTTGTTTTTTTTCTTTAGTTGATTCAGCCAAGAATTTGTGGAGAAAGAGTGTTTGCTTTCCTTGACTTTTAAATACCAGATAAGTTTTCATGGCAAACTGTGCTCCTTTGACTTAAGAGATTAGACATCCTGGTAGAAGTACTCTTCAGGTTCTTTTTGTCTCATAGCGTAAGTTCTTCAGACCTGTAAAGACTAGAAATCTCTCTTCTAACTTCATTAATGGCAGGAAATAGAAGAGGGAGGGGAAAAAATCAGTATAATTAAAAATACCCCATAAACATAGTACTTGATTATATCGTTCTTTCTTTTTCTTGCTCTCTCTCTTTCAATTATAATATATATAATGAAAGTAGGAGTAACTTTCACTTTGACTTTTGTGAGAATAATTGATCAGGACTGAATGTAATATTCATTATTTAGTCCAGCCAGTGCCTTGTTGACTACCTTTAATATTTCCTTTACCAGAGCCAGAGTAGGGTTTAATTTCCAATCTTTGTGCCCACATGAAATTTATCGCTTATAATTTACTAGTCCAACAAATTTTATCATCTTGTATTTTTCTTAGATCTTGGATTTGTCATATTAATTTTGTTAGTCATTAGTTGATCTTATTCAGATTGTCATTTCTATTACTCCTGCTTTTGGCTCAAATGATTTGTCTCTTCTGATACTGAAATTCTCCTCTGAATGTTGTTCTTATTGTAATTTTTACCAAAACTGGAGTTCTGGGAGAAGAAAAACAAAAAAAGAACAAGAAACCAAGTGACTTCAGATATTCTCTATCCTGTCCTCTCTGAGTTAGTGTCTATATTTTGGTGAAGAGGATTTGAGGAATGGTTTCTGCCATCTAGAGAGCTTTTTTGATAATGCACAGTCTAATATATGGTAGTTGCTTAAAGTGCTAAATACTTTTATTTTCCCACAAGGCAAAAGAAAATAATGAGTGAAGAGAAAATCCTTGCTGTAGCCTTCTAAATTCTCATTTTAACGTCTTACTTGAAAAATGATACGATTTTTTAAACTGATCATGTTGTAGCTGATGAAGATTACTTGGCATCTGACAAATTCAATGCACTTGTATGAACTTAATATTTCATTTATGGATTAATTTGTTTTATTTAATTAGCTATGCTCTTGTATTCATACCCCTGAATCAGTACAATGTAATGTTTATGGAAGTGCATGTGACCTCGGAGATTTACTTCTAGCCATTGTCTTGTCTTCTGAGAATACAAAATACATATGATGCTATCCAAAAGGAAAAGTGTTTATGCTGCTTTAATATCAAATTAGTTGTCATTACATTTGAGTAAAAGGTGAACAGATTGAGGTAAAACTTACTATAATCTATTGCTGCTTATATTCTTTGTGCAAATTAGACATTTACATTTTTTAATAGCAATGAAGAAGATCAAAGTACATATTTGTTAATTTTGCTTATTATTGCCATCTATGCTGGTGTCATAAACTCTGGTACTGACAGACTGACTGCAAAAGTAGCTAGGGAGCTAGTTGCTTGAAATAGGCTTCATGAAACTTATTAGGTGGTGTTGTAGTTACCACATATGAAAACAGGAAGAGGGTCCAAAGTGGTATTGGACCACTTTGTTTTTATTGAAAACTTTGTTTCTTTTAAAGAATAAACACAACCTGACAGACTATTTACAAATTTTTAATGAATTTATAATTTAAAATAATTAATTGAGATAGTGGATAGCTTACATATAGTGAAGGAAATATTTTCAAAATGCACTTTTAAAATGATCAAATTTATTCTCAAAAATCTATTCTTAAACTGAATACAATATTTGATTCCCAAGTAGGCAAATTTTGTTTGATACAAACTGGTTGCTTGAACAAGCACAATTATTTCAACTTGATGTAAAAAAAAATCCTCCTCCTTTTAAACCTACTCAATTAAAACAATATCACTAGAATAGAATTATATTTCATAGGCTATGATGTTCATGGAAGAAATATTAACATTTAAGAATGCATTTGAACAGTAGTTATAAAACTAATATGAAAATTGGTAGGAACAGAAGGCCATTGGAGATTGCTAAGGTGGTCTTTATGTTCAGTACTGTACAACAGCAGGCAGGCAGCAAGCAGCTACACACACCATGATGGTCCACAAAACGTCTGCCCCTACAAAACTGGCCACAAAGCATTTTCCACTATCTTATATCAACTCCAAGGCTTAAAGGATTGAAGATAGAAATTAAATCAAAAGCAAAACCAAACCAATTGAAAAAAACCCACCCAAACAAACAAACACAACCCCAACTAGTGTGCCACACTAAAAGAATTGTAAAGAAGAGAATAACGGGGTTGCTAGTGTCATAACTGCCTCCCTGCATGCCTGCAAGTGTGCTGTCCTCATCATGCTTGGACTTTGGAGACAGCTACTGACATTAAAATTCCATCCAATCCTCAAATCTGGAGATCAAAAACCCTAAGCAAGTGATCTATACATTGACCAGATAACTCTAAGAGCTGAAATCTTGTGCTCTTTGTTTTATGTATCTGTTTGACTGACAATCCTGGAGTGCTTGATGCAAGTCTCCAGTCCCACAGTGTATAACTGAAACAAAAAAAATCTCAGATTATGAGAATCCTTTCTGATCATGCTGGTAGTCTTAAATATTTGGGAGAAGCAAAAGGATGCAGTGGAGTTTAGTGTACTTCAAGATTCAGATAGGTATTTGTGAATTTTTTTTCTGTTCTTGACCCCTCTCTGGCCAAAAGAAAATTATTTTCATTGATATTTGAAAGAATTCATTCAAAAGAATCCTGGGTCATATTTCTAGGCTCTCAATGTCCATTTGTGGGTCACAGAGCTTGAAAAAGTTAAATTCCAGTTTTCAATTTCAAAAGTGTGGCCCATGGTGACACTGATGACCAAGCTTTTTCAGAGGTCAGCTGACATGCTGATTTTTTCTCTTGAAAATCCTCTTTTGAGTGTGGCAGTCAGAAAATTCTGATGATGGTGCATTCCACAGGATATATGTGCTGAAGCTTCCAAGCAGAATCTGTTTGAGTTTTTTACTTGTAACTGGGCTCCATCAGAAGATTTCTAGAGTGTGTTGTGATCACAGATGGTTTCATCAACATTAGTGATGAGTAAACTTGATAACCTGTTTATGTGTGCTTTTGCATTAGGACAACATATTTCTGGAGAGGAGTATGGCTGGACCTCACTGTTTTCAAGGAGCTAAGGAAATTTTCAAGCTGAGCATATTTTGTATGAACGCCAAATAGTCAGCTGCCAAGTAATGACACTTTAACTTGTAAAACATAAATAAGTCTGCAAATAAAAACAGAATATTCTTGATAATATTATATAGCTACTATCTTGCTTGACTTCCTGAAAGCCAAATTAATATCTTTTACTTGTAAAATATGTGATTGGATTCATACTTAATATCTCAAATACAACCTTGTAATTTAAATGGATTTTTTAATATGTATTAATTTTAATGAATGACTGGGAGGTTTATTGGAGGGAGGTAAAGTAGTGTCTCTGAAGCCTCACTGGTTAATCAAATTACTATAAATAACCTTTGATAGTCTAAGGCTCTATTCCTAGATGATTTCTCTCATCATTATCCAAGATGTTAAAGAACTGGCACCTGCAGAGGTTTGTTTTCAGACGCTGGTAAAGGTCATGAACATAAATCTTCCCCCCACCCTACCCCCCAGAAAAATTCCTCTTGTGTAACTACTGTGTAGTATGTCAAATCTGTGCTCTGTGTGCATTTGGCAGCGAAAAGTCATCATGGTCCCACTTCAGTATCTACTGGTCATGGAAGGAAGACTGAGGGGAAAAAATGTGTGACCTTATTCAGAGGCCTGCTTCCTCCATGAGCAAAAATAGAGAAACTTTCATACAATTATCACAGGGATTCAAATGGAATGAAGCTAAAGATGGGATATTTCAAAAGCAAATCAGAGGTATGTGGAATAGGAGACTTCTTTCATCCATTTCTTGCCGGAAATGGTTATAAGCCTCTTTACGTCAACTCCAAACTCTTTCTTCTTTAAACTTTATCAGTACTGTAGTTCAGTTTTTCAGAAAAAAATCCTAGATAAATGTACTGCAAACCACTGCAGTTGTAGTTTCCATTTTAAAAGCATGAGTTTAATACCAAGAAGTTCATTCAGTTTTCCAAATTAATGGGAATAAAAAACCCAAAACAGCATGAAAGCTGTCTAGGAGCAGGAATCATTCAATCCTAGGCCCTACACATTCTAAACAACCATCTAAATTTCACTCCTAGTTTCTATATCCTTTTCTTGGATCATTCTGACAGACTACAGCCTGGTCCTGTTAGATTATGCATTGTTCATATCTCATTTGTGGAAGTCCATGACTTAACCCTACTTTGTGTTTTTTGAACAACTTTGTGTTATTTGTGTTATATGAACAACTAACTACTTTATATTATTTATATGTTCATGCTTTCTTGAAAATCTAACTAAGCATATTAAATATGTGTGTGCATTTATATGTACACGTGTCCATTCACATTTTTGTGCAAGTAGAGACTATTGGGAACTTTGGAGGGATTGCAGCAAATTCAGAGTGGGTCGAATTAAGTTCATATTTTGTATTAGTATGACATTTGGGTATTTGATCTTTCAAATTTTGCTAGTTCAGGACCAGTCACAAAACTCACTCTCATTTTCCACCTTTTTTGCTTGTAGTCTTGGCTGAGAAATTGCATATCAAGTGGGATACAGAACAGAAATTATCCATGCCTACTAGAAATACCAATTTAAAGTTTGAGATATTTTGTACTGGTGAACAAATATGAGCTGATTGGCAGCAGGAAGGCATGTAAAGGCTGTTCTGCAGTTTGCACACCATCTTAGTATAAACCGAGGTCTTAATGGTCTTATCTTAAAGATAGAAAACAGTGTCATTGTATATATGACAGCTGTATCTGTCTTAATGAGAGAGGGAAAATGCAAACCTGTTTTGTAGTTGTCTTTGTGACAGCCTTGGGGTTGAAACTTTGAAATCCACAGTTCCCTCTGGTCAATATGAACACTGCATTTCCAAAAAAAATGGTTTTGAGAGTAGGTTTTCCCTGGTGTACTTAGTTAAATACCTTCCTTCTCATCTTGCTTTGTTGTGCTCTGGGCTGCACACCAAATTGGCTGTATTTCAGTGCCACCAAATGTGTACAGTTTGATAAGCATGTTGTAGCAAATCTTCAGGACGAAAGTCACTGTATAAACGTCAAATTATTTACCCATTTTAAAGCATTTTATCCTCCAGTGCTGTAAATCCAACACCATTTGCTAACACAAAATTAGCTTTTTAATGCTGTAGGACCCTATAACACTAACACATATAACAACATCCACATCCTTGCTAGGGGGGAGGAGGGGAAAGTGAACATTGATGTGTCTAGGTGAAGCTTCAGCAATTCAAGTGCTTTATTCACACTGGATTTAGAATCAGATTAACAGGCCATACTAGGTCTCAGTTCAGCAATTCTGTCATCCTGCCTTCTCTTATGAGCAGCAGAGACCAAATATTCTCCATGTACATATACTCACCACTCACAGAAATCAGCAGGAGCAGCAAGCAGGCAAGAAAGGGAAGCATAGGGCACACATTGTTTGTGTGTATTATTATATTTGTTTCACAAAAGATTTATGACTTCTTTTTTTGGCAATTAGTTGTGGTCACCTGAAAACTTGAAATAATTGTGGAAAGCCTACTTGTGTATTTCCAGACTGGTGATGTATTACACACTTTGTGTTTTCACTTTTATGGTGTTCCACTGTAAATTACTTTTTTCTTTTTTCTGACTATTGCCTTTAGCTTTCTGTTGCCTAAATTTTTCTTACTACTTTCACATCCTTTTCTTAGAAGAAAAAAAAAAATCAATAGGAAGTACTTTTAGCACTGGCACAGCATAGTAGTTTACTGCAGTGTAGGTGCTGGTGGTGCCAAGACTGCTGACCTATATATTGGGATTTTGGTTAAGCAGCAGATAATCATATGGTGTTCCTTTAATATGTGTCTATCTGGACATGTTTGGAGCTGAGCTTTGTTAATACATGTTTGCATTAGGCTCTAAAAGACGATCTAAGACAGAATTTTGTTAACCATTTTTCAAATGCTTCTCAAAGACTATTTTTTAACATATAAATTTATATTAACAAGATAATGCTGAAAAACTGGGGACAGAAATATCAAAAATACATTCTGTCTTTAATGGATTTTTACTGATAGTGAGGTAGGATATTACTGCATATTCCTCATTTTAGACCAGTAAATATACTTCATTATTTGGGAGAGGGCCCATTTCCCATTCAAGCTAATATGCATGAGATCTAAAATTGTAAGATGGAAATTCCAGCAAGATCTTAGGATGAATTCAGAACTCCCCCAACAAGTCATAGTCAAAAATGCATCCTTGTTTGTCTATAGCCCTGCTATTTCTACCCCACATTAAGTGCAGTTTGGCAGAAAATAATGAGAGCCTCAGTCACACTGGGGGAGATAAGGGAGATTTCTATGTCAGTTGGAAGAGCTCAGCTGTGTACTTTGCATAGCACTCGCTGTCCTGAAGCAGCAAACATTGTCTCCTTGCATCTTTTTAATTACTTCTCCACTGCAGAGTTAGACAAATTCTTGGCTTCCTTAGAGACACCCAAGAGGACTTCAGAATGAGAAAAGAGGTCTGAACTAATGTGACAGTTAGTATCCGATTTTAAATTGGTTTGCTTGATTGATGATGGCTTTCATTACCTTCCTTGAAAAATATTTAGGAATGTGGACTGCAGATGGAAGGTAAGGTAAGATGCTCTGCTCAGCATTGAAACTCAATGAGTCAGGCTGGGTTTTCTTTTTGTAGTGAGAATCTCATTTTTCTCTGCTCTTCATTCTCTGCTATTACACCTTTTTATATTTTTTTTTCTTTCACTATAATTATAGCAGCCAAATATCTTTTGTCTTCCTTTAGTGTTGTAATGTCTAACTGAAATTAGATGTCAGTTTCCAGATGGTTTGAGATTTTCACAGGCCTACGTTAAGTTGTAAGAGAAAGAAATTCTAAAAATTCTTGTTGTAGAAACACAAAATAGTGCTGTGTTATTATGCCAGATAGAATTCTTGCTCTGTAAGGAAGACATAGCTTGTCACAAAGCTGTGAGAAAAAGCCTCACAAATTCTAGAACCTTCATGTTCAATCTTTTTAATTGCTGAAGTTCCCTGGGATTGATGGCTGCAGAGGCCAACAGATGCTGAATGGTAACTGGGGTGTTTCAGGGAGGTTCCCTGACGAAAACTACACTCTATTTCTGGAACAAATAAATCACAGTAATTCAAATAAAAATGGCTACCCGAAGTGTTCTTTTAAATACACTTGATAATGAATGTGAAGCCATTTGGGAGATTTTTTAAATTTACTTATTATTATAATTTTGCCTTTTTAATTCCCACCTATTGAAGATACTTTGACTTTGGACATTTTATTAAGTGCTTTCTTATTTATTAAGTTTATTATTTATTAACTTTATTAAGTGCTTGCAGATTTATGGGAATACAAAGAATTTGAAGACATAAGAGAAAGCTATACTAATGAAATGGCTAATATAGATAAATGCAGAAAGCAGTGTTTTGCATTTTGCCTGCTTATTTATTGTTCACAGAGACAAGTAAAGGTCATGATTTGCTATGCCATTATAACCTTGGCCTCCTTGGTATCAAAATGTTAAATATTGTAAAGAAATGTTTCTGTGTGATGAGGATTTTAATTATAATACATTTTTATGTTTTCATTTTAGCACCAGTCCATTTTCTTTCCATGCTGAAGTTTTCAGTAATTTATTCATGACCTTTAACTGCTTTAAAGAAGTATAGATTGGGAATTATTGCTTTCCTTGCCATTAGAAGTGCCAAGGCAGAAATGCCTTGAGAAGCTTCACAGGATTTTATTAATGAGATACACATCTCCATTAGAATAAAACATCTGAAGCTGCTGGTTTGTTCATCCTGGTGTTATGTGGAGGATCAGTGTTTAAAATCACTTGGAGACTTTTAATCTCAAGAAACAAGTGATCAGACCACATAAGGGTATGCAATTTATGATGAATAATCTGGTTTGTTTAGGATTAATTTTTATCTTTGTGATTCTGACTTCTTTTGCCCCTAAAAGGTGAGCTAGTACAACAGAACAGCTGAGTTCAAAGCCTGAGTAAGAGAAGGAAGAAATCTGCACATATATGGATGTATGGGTAGGATTATAATGCATATCTACTCTTGTATATATAATGTATGTTCAGAAACACAGATTTTAAATTTATTTCTTCCCAAAATTTAGTTCTTCCCAAAGCCTTTGTCATAGTGACCACTGCAGACACAAACTTCAAAGAAAGATTTAGAAAGTCAATATGTAAGACCTGTTAAGAATTCTACATAATTAATTTTATTACTACACAAAGCTGGACAACCTGGTGGCCTGACTCAAATGGAAAGATCAAGAACCCTGTCTCCTTTATGTTTGTATTACTTCCCATACCCTCATCTACTCTGGGTAGCTCCACAATCCTCCAATGGAGTAACTTGGATAAAAGGGGAAAAAAGGAGCAGAGGAAAGAGATTGATGCCCACTGTCTATATGAAGACAGAGGTTGTGAGAGGAGAGAGGGAGATTGAGAAGCTGGTGTTCTGTTCATGGGCCAAGACTAGAGGAACAAGCACTCAAGTTTTCAGAAATGTGAATTTGCTTATATCGGATTCTTTGCCATTTCAATCGGTGTTGAAAGCACCTTCACAAAAATCTGCAACAGCTGTGCACTCCCTACAACTGCAACTCTTGTCATGTGTGGGAGTTCTGGGGGCACAGGAACTGAAACGCTGGGATTTGTGTCCCTTAGTGTTCTCTGCAAGCTTTCAGTCTGCGTACATCAGGAAACAACTTTACTAGGATATTGCAGGATATACCAGATTGTGGTTATAAACTTGTTTTGAAATAATGAATTCAGATTAGGAAGAATCTAAGTTTACATCTGTGCCTCTGGTAGAGAGAATGGCAGTAGGAGGATTCCAAAGTTAGGGTCCCAGAGAAGAATGCTGGAACAAAAAGTGAGAAAGAGAGCAGGAGGGCTAAGCAAAGCACATGCTATCTCA